TCCCTCCCTCCCCTGCTTTCTCTCTGAAATAAATAAAAAATATATTTTAAAAAAGTTTACCACAACAATTTCTATGTATATTTGGAATAAATTCAGTTTGATTTTATTGATTTTTGATTCCTGTTCCTTTTAGCTCCATTATGTTTCTGCAGAAGTAAAAAATTTCTTGCTTTGACTGTAGTATTGAAAAGATTAAGATATGTGATATCAAAGAACAGACACACTTAAAGCTTTTTCTCTAGCTTTATTCTATTGTATAGTTTACTAAAGTAATCTAGTTGCTGTTGGGCATTAGCAAAGAAATTTTAATGGCATAATGTCAACTGGAATAGAATTTGGCATTCTTAAAATACCTGGGAGCAGATAGCATTTTTTATGTTTATAGCTAAATAGGCAATTAAAACTTTTTAGTGGGATTATATTGATTGGCTCTTTCTGCAATAAAATTGTATATATATATATTTCCATTTTATATTTAGGTAAGATTTACTGTTACATGTGAAATGTTTCAGATTTCAGTATAATGTAATTGTGTAAAAAAGCAAGCGAGACTTCCTTTTTAAATTTTATTTATCGCTTACAGTTACATTCAATATTATTTTATATTAGTTTCAGGTGTTTAGACAATCATATACTTTACAAAGTGTTCCTCCCCATATTTCAAGTGCTGACTTGGCACCGTACATAGTTATTACAATATTATTGACTGTATTGCCTATGCTATACTTTCCATCCCATGACTATTTTGTAACTGCCAATTTGTAGTTCTTAATCCCTTCATCTTTTTCATTTAGTTCCTCAACCACCCCCCGCCCCCCGCAAGCGAGACTTCCAGTTATTTTTTTTGCCATCTGTTTTTATAGTGCACACTATCTTTTTATATAAAGTATGCTTGGATACTTTTCAGAGTGACTGTGGAGTTAATTTCCTCCTTTGGTTTTATTTAATTTAAAATCTAAGTTCAAAGGTCTAACTTCATTGTAGTGTCAACAAGTAAAATATTTTTATATTAAAATGCTTTATTATATTTTATTTATGTTTCTTAAAATTATTTGTAGGGGATGCCAGTGGAATTTTTGGTGTTACATGATGTTGATTTAGTAATATCCTATGTAGAAAATAACACATACATTGAGGAAAGACAAGAAGATGAAGCCGATGACGTGGAAGGTCCAGATATGGGTAATATGTTTTGTGATGCTCACCTCACCCATTCCTGACCAGCATCTATTATATCAGGAAAGTTCAATGAATTAACTTTCTCATAGAATGTATTCACATTCAAGACTAGGAAAAAACCTGAAGAAATTTATTTTGAGTCATTTTATCAAATTGCTTAGGTGAAAAGACATAAGGATACTGTATTCTGTTTAGTGTGATAACTTTCTTTGTTAGGCTTCTAGCTTTCCACATCTGTACCTTTATCTTCCACATCAGTTCTTTCAACCCTACTGGAGTATTCCATGTTTAAAAATGACCCAGGAGTCACACATGGTGTTTTATTTTTATTATTCCTATTAGGAAGTGAAATTCTAACAAACATTATATTTATAGTTGTAAATAAATCTGATTGTAAACAATGTAGGGAGTAAATTTCAATAGCATTTTTTTTTTGTTTTTTAATTAAATCTTTATTGTTCAGATTATTACAGTTGTTCCTCTTTTTTCCCCCCATAGCTCCCCTCCACCCGGTTCCCACCCCACCCTCTGCCCTTACCC